AATTATAAACACATCAATTCATGTGAATATGACTGAAAATTCCATTTTTTTCTGAAAAGGTAGTGTCTATTTACTTGTGACCACGCTGTGTATATATACATAAAAATGCTGTAAAATGGAATTAAGATTATTTTTATGAAAATCCTAGAATTAAAACTAACAAAAAAATTACAATCAAAACATTACAATAAATTGATACCTGCTTACATTCTATAAAAGTCCACTTTTTTTTCTTATTGAAAGCTTTAAACTAATATCAAAAATTTAATTTTATAAGACAATATAACATCATAAAATTTAGATGTTTTACTGAAATACTCATAAACTAATTTAATGCATCTCAATAATAAAAACAGGAATAGTTTATAAAAAAAAAATCCTCTAAAGCTTGTTTAAAACTGAAAAAATATTGATATAGTACATAAAATTAAAGTTTGTATTCAGATTTTGTCCTGAAAGTTACAAAAAGGTTATACAATAACACTGTACTGCAATGAGTTTTATCGTGGATTTTTCGGATATAAAGAAGAGGTAAAATATAATCTATCTTATACTTACTTTGTTTCCTAATTTCCTGTTGAGAAGCTTCATGAAAAATGATGACCCAAAACCACTGAGATAAATAATAAGTGGTATGATAGCAATACTATCCTGTAAAATAATAATAGTTCATATGTACAAAATGCATATGTATCCACACTGTCTACATGAATGATTCTATCTAATACACACATTCTCATACAATGTTTTAAACATTTTAAGTACTGCACAATATGTAGGTTACAACTCACAAGACAGTTTATAAAAGTTTATGTTTTTATATTGGTCAGTTATAGTTACTTCAGTAATGTTTTTCACTTGAAAATACCTTTTACAAATTTAAAAGATTCATGTAGTTATCAACTTCTTATTTTTGTAAAATAAGGTAAAATTAGATGCTTCGGGTTGTGTTTCAAAAACTAAGCTAATTTTAAAAGGTACACTACATTTAATTTTAATATTCTGAAATAGTTAAAATTAATTTGTATTACTGAAATTAAAAGTAAAAAAAGCCAGTTGAAATAAAAAATTGTACTGACACTTAAATATGCTCATTATAAATATAACTAGTTGTTTCTTTTTGAATCCTTACTTACTTAAAACACTTTATTGTGTGGTTACATTCATTTCAAATTACAAGTTTGTATCAATAATTCACTATATTAATCAAAAACTAAATTGTGTGAAAAAAAAGACCTTGACTAAATCAAAATAAACCAATTTTGTTTCTTGTGCCAGTTTTCTCACCTATAACTTGACTTTGCTTTCATTTACATAAAACAATATTAAAAATATTCAAATTTTTCCTTTTTCTTACAAAATTAAAACTTACTCTCTCCAGCTTAAGTGAATCTTGAAGGTATAGTGGTGCATAAACTTGAGAAAGGTTAACATACAACCTGGTGCCCATGTACAGTAGACCAATCTGTAATAACATAATTGAAATCCTAATAGCTCATATACAGTTTCCATAAAACCAACACAGTAAACAACTTTTCACAATAAAACTTTTAAACACTTGTCAAGGTTGCAAGTTTTGTTTTTAAGTTTTAATAGTTTTCTTTCTTTAACAACATCAAAACATAGCAACTGGGCAAGTTTGATTATGCCGCGGCTTCAGACTGTTTATCATCAAATTCTTTTATGCAGAGACCATGTTCTTGATTGACTTTTTTAGTTAAGTGAGTGTGAGGTAGTTTTTTAAAATGATTTTAAGATCTAAGAAGAGATTGATAATGAACATACTCTCTCTATAATGTTGCTGTGCAGGTTCTTTTAAATTATTTGGTGAAAATAATGTGAAGTCCAGTTCACATAATGATAATGTTACGTATCTGCTTGTTTGTTAATTTCCGGTAGAATTTCTTTCAGAGGAACTTTAGCAATGCAAGTCCTTTCTTGATTAAACCAGTTTATTATTTCTCGATACAAACTTTGAGTACACAGTAATTCCACTGTCAGTACGTTTCTCGTCACTTTAAACTTAACAACTTTTATAATACACGCTATAAACTACAGCGATTCACAATCTCAATAACTTCGCCCAAAACTTACCGTTTCTACTTGTTTGCTTTACCATACATTCACCTTCCCAAGCTTATATACTAAAAAAGAGGGCGTCTCGAACAAACTCGGGCTTACCCGATCATTCGTGATCATTCAAGAAATTCATCACGTGTACCAGCGTCAAGTGACTTCCTCTGTCGTGAAATTAAATTAATTTCTTTCTTTCTTAATACTTTCTACAGGCTACTATCACTCGCACACAGTTGTAAGCCCTAGTTCACAAATAACATTTTTACTTTCAACAGAAACTTATTTACCAATGGTGCAAAAATTAACATACAAATAAACTTGTGTACAATTTTGTGGGTAATTAATTGATTCATACGTGATAAATAACATTGATTTAAATATTACACTAACTTCTCAATCACTGAATGAACTGAAACTGACTAAATACTTCATTGATTCTCATATTTATAATGTATTACTGTTTCTAGATATTTTGCAAAAGTTTATTGATCATTAACATCAACAAACATTCTATGGTATTCTAGGGCTACTTTTATACACTTCCTAAATCTAGCATCAAAAGCATGTTAGCAGCTCCTTCTAACAAACAACTACATTAAAACATTGCAAATATTCCAGCCCCTTCCTAGCTTGTGAAGTCTCTTGAACAATTCTCACACACAAATTAATCATTTCTCTACACTGTCCATTCCCCAAATCTTTTTTGTGGTTTTCTCTTCCAAGACCCATAGGTAGGTGACTGAGTTAATACACTGGTTGCTGCATCCTTGATGATCCTCTGGAAGTAGTCTCAACAGGAACCCTCAACAGGTTGACTTCCATTTGCAAATTTTTCTCTGGAGTTATCCATTGGCCAGTATTTCACTGACATACTTCCAAAGACAATCACAGTGAATGATCTTTAGATTTTACTTTCTGGATTCTCTGAGCCACGTTACTGATTTTTCAGAATAACATATGACTCTTCCCAACATTTACTTAACTTTGGACTTTGTCTTATCTTGAGGCAGGGATTGTATAGCTATACAATGTCATCTCAGTGAAAGCCAGTCTTATAAGCATTAACATCATAGTGACTTTAATCTTATCACTAGCTAACTTAAGTCTTTCTCAGGAATATATCAATGTATGATATTCATTTTTTTCACATTTGTGAGAGCTCTTCCAACTATCAATCCAACAGGAGTGTCTGGTTCCACTACACCCCAGTCATTAGAGGTACATTTATTGCTAGTAACTCCTGGTATGAGTATTTCACTTCTTAGTGATATAACGACCACCCTCCCTATTGTCACTGGAAGTTCAACCTCTGATGTAGTAATTACCATGTAGTGCACAGAGATTTCTTGATCATAGACTAAGAAGCTATCTGAAGTTAGCCTAACCTCAAATCAATGTCTCTGCATGAAATCAATTCCCAATATACACTTTTCCTCAAATTTAATTGCCCTCACATTATGAGGCAGAACAAAGTTTTCTACAGTAAGAGTAACTTCTAACTTTCCTCTTCATGTCCACTTCCAGTTTCCATCACTTCTCCTTATTTCTTCAAGTCTGGAGGCTATATTCCACCTTTTATTACCAAATTAGGTCAAACTATCAGAGTTTTAGAACCAGTGTTAATCAATATACAGCAAGGCTTTCCATCAACAAACCCATGGGCTTCTTATCTCACTGAGGGCAGGTGAACTATGCCTCATAAATACAACTAATTCTTGTTTTCTTAATGGCTGGTTAGCTCTTTGTTGTTCCTTTGATGTGGTTGGGCTCTGTCTCCTTAGCTTAATAATAGCTGTTGAATTTTTAGTCTCAGCTTTAATGATCATATTTCCCACAATTCAGTTCCTTCTTTCTAGTATTCCCTGGAAGGAGTTCTTATTCCATACAGGATTTAATCTACAGTTTCTTACGAATATGTCATTTCAAGTTACACTTGATCCTCCTATTTTCTTGTGGTCCTTTTTCTGTTTTCTGTGTAACTAGCATTCTGATTAATTCTTAGAGTTATAGACATCATTAGTGGGATTTGATATTTAAGTACTTCAGGATCTGATGATCCTATAACTTCTAGACAGTATCTTTAGCAAGTTATCTGCAATTCAATGAAATCAAATTCCATTGTTAAGATTCTTTAAAAGATTTATGTCTGGTGTTTTAGATTAGAACTTTTGAGCAGATGCAGAAAAAGGTGTGTCTGGTTTAATCTTTGCATTTTGTAATTCATTTTCCACATGTTTTATTTTGTCACTGATGTCCTTTTCAACCTTGATGATGTAATCTCTCTGTATGTTTCCAGTAGCTTCATCGATCTTGTCTTCAACCAGATTTATTTCTGTTCTTAATTCTTCTTTAAATATTTGATCTCTTTCTTTAACTCCTCTCCTAAAATTCTGTCTCATTCTTCTTGATCCTCTTTTAATTATTTTAATCATCTCTAGTAAAATTTTGATCCTGCTTCTATATCTGGTTGTGATGATGAAATTGAGTCAAATTATATTTTGTTTTCACAAGAAAAATCCCACTTCTGATGCTCATACTGTAACATGTTCTTATGTCTGTTGCGATGTTTAAATTATTTGGTGAAAATAAGGCAATATATACTCCAAGTAATGATATTAAATCAATTTATTTATTGACATTTGTTACAAGATTCTATCACCTATAAACAGCTTTAGGCACAAGTTTATAAGTAACATTTTCACTTGCAACAAAAATTTACTTGCTAATGATACTATGACTAACATACAAATAAACGTATTTGTACAGTTTCATGGCTAATCAATTGAGTAACTGAATATATGTGATAAATAACTTATCTGAATACTCCATAAACTTTTAAATCACTGAACAAACTGAAACTGACTAAATGCTTCACTGATTCTCATATTTATAATGTATCCTTGTTTGTAGGTACTTTACAAAATCTCTCGATCATTAACAAATATTCTAGATATTCTGAACTTTCTAGATCTAGTGTCATCATCATGTTAACAGCTCCATTTAGTGAATGACTAAATTAAAACATTGAAAACAGTGCTTACAACAATAGTGTGCTGATTAAGAATTTATGAAACAGCTTAATTTAACTAGTTTAGCTGTCATCTTGTAATGAAAACTGTAGTCATCAGAGTTAAAAATTTGTTCACCTGGTAAAACTGTGGCTGTTTAAGCCACTCCTTCCATGTTAGATGCACTAAGGCTTCAAGATCAATATCAACCTCATCGCCTTCCCTCTGTTGATGCGTAACCTGGGGCTTATTCTCCTTGACAAACAAATGGAAAGCCACAGAAAAAAGTAGTCCAATTACTAAAATTGTCAGAGTAACATTCTGAAAAGAACAAGACAAGACAGTGTCACATAGAAATAAAAAAAGTAGAGAGATAGTACTTAGTTGATATTTATTTTAGTAAAAGTAGCAAGAAAGTCACTCACAGATTGGAATCCTATTTTTCTTATTTACAAATTTGAACTAATTCTCCAAAAAGACAATCTTCATAAAATTAGCTTATCTTTCTTGTCATCGTAACTTTTAGTTTCTCAAACTGATTTTAAAGAAAGACCTCAAAATAGAGGCACAAGTTTAACACTTGTTGAACAAAAAGCTTACACATGCTGACACAAACTTTTATTATTTAATTCTAAAGTAATATTTTGACTTTTTAAAATTACTACTGTAATGCTTTAGTATACAAGTTCTGATACTAAGTGTTGCATATCCTTAACTCTCTATTATACTGTTGCGTCATCGAGATCATGTGATTCTCACGCTCTCTACTTTCTAGAATTATCCTGTACTTTGGTGAATGTTCTAGTTCTTGCTGGATATAGGGTGGTCGGGTATATAAAAGAGGGAGACAACGTGATCTGTGTAGATAGTGAGTAATTGAACTGCAGTCAGAAGTATTGTTGACGTTCGTTGATATAGCGTTTGTTATAGAGCGAATGTTGAAAATAAGTGTATCGTAAAGTTGTATTCCGAAAGAATAAACCAGTTTTATTAAGTAAGGACTTGTGTCGCTAAAGTTTCGTTGGAACGAAGTTACGGAAAATCAATTAACAAACGGAGACGTAACAAATTGGTGTCAAAGAGTGGGATAGAAAAAAAAAAGAGAAGAAAAATGGAAACGAGAGGCGGAAAATCAAACTACAGTATAGCAGACTTGATGGCAACAATACAAAAACAAGAAAAGAAACAAGAAGAACGAGAAATTAAACAAGAAGAGAAATTACGGCAGTTGTTAGAGGAAAAAGAAAAGAAACAAGAAGAACGAGAAAATAAACAAGAAGAGAAATTACAACAGTTGTTAGAGGAAAAGGAAAAGAAACAAGAAGAGAGACAACAGCAGTTGCAAGAAAACCTACAACAATGGCAGCTCGAACAGCAAAATAAACAAGAGAAATTACAGCAGTTGTTGGATGAAAAAGAAACATAAAGAAAGATTACAGCAGTGGCAAGAAAACCTGCAACAATGGCAGCTCGAACAGCAAAATAAACAAGAGAAATTACAGCAGTTGTTGGAGGAAAAAGAAAAGAAACAAGAAGAAAGATTACAGCAGTGGCAAGAAAACCTGCAACAGTGGCAGCTCGAACAACAAAATAAACAAGAGAAATTACAGCAGTTGTTGGAGGAGAAATTACAGCAGTTGTTGGAAGAGAAAGAAAATAAACAAGAAGACAAATTACAGCAGTTGTTGGAGGAAAAAGAAAAGAAACAAGAAGA